CCGTGAAACCCACTGGAGCTGCTCAGTCTTGCGTGCCACCCAAAAATCTTATTTTTCTCCGGTGTACGGTTCACAAAGGCGTCTGCTCCTTCATAAAATGTGTTGGAAAAGATGCTACAGGCTCTTCCTGAGTCCTCCCCTGCTTAAGGACGGCTCTGTCAAGTTTCTAGTCTGTTTGGAGCCTTTCCTACTCCATTGTTTAATCTCTGTTCTCATTTGCACCTCCCCGGTGGAGAAGCTCTCAGAACTGGAAACCATTTCCTTTAATTTTCCTTTAATTTTGTCAGGGAGTTTCCCCTGGTTTTGTTTTTTTTAAACTGAGCTGCCTTGCAGTTCATTCCTCGGCGTGCAGTTGCTGCATTACTGCTGCGGTCTAGCCGCTTGGCACCTCCTCCAGCCACATCCCAGCGGCGCATTAAGCCTGCTGGCAGCGTGCTCTGGAACAAGATCGACCTTTCAAGCTTTATCCTGCAGACTTGCCTTAGCCAGGATGTTATTACAGACGATATCAAGCAAAGATTTTACCTGCTGCAGGCCGATGGGACCGAAGGGCTCAGGAATTCAGGATGGGGAGCAGTTGCACAGTCTAGATGATCTCAGGAGGGGGACCTCTGAGGTTCGTGATGGACAGTCTTGCTCTCTCTTGGATCCAGACGGATCCAACCCCTCTCGTAGGGCCTTGAAGACCTGGGCAAGGAGGTTAAACCCACCTGTTTATGGATTTATTATTTGAGACCTGGGGTATGTTACATTATTTTGGATCTGTACAGGTTGCTGTTACAGGCAGTCCTTGACGTACAGCCAAGCCCAAAATTTCTTACTAAGCGGTCAAAAGTCACTTTTTTTTAGTGCCACTGTAATCACTAAATGAACAGTTGTAAGCTGAGTATCTGTACTGGGGATCTTTTATTTAATATATTCTATTCCTTTTAATCTTCTGCATGGCGCTCAGTCGCTGTTTTGAGATGGTTAACCTTGCAAATTCAGATAACAATTAGCAGAGAAGGGGGAGCAGGAGTTGAAGTGATGAGTAGTTTTAATTTTGCTAAACTTGGGGTAATTGGGGGAAATATTTGGGCTACTTAGCCCAGCTTTTCCAGTTCCAGATTTTTCTTTTAGTTGGGGAAATAGACTCTACTGCTTTAATGTTGTACCTCTGTAGGAAAAGGCCATAGATTAGATAGGAGTCAAATAAGAGAAAAGGTGAAACGTGAACTTTCCCTGACTCATATTCATGCACAGCCCTCGTGCAACGATTCTCCCTCTACCGCACACCAACTATATCTCTTTATTGAAAGAATTTTTCCAACCTTACCTGGAGATGCAGTTTGGATCCTTGGCATTTGGCCTCTGTCGATAATTGCTAGCTTTAATCGAAAGCTTAAAAGAATTGGTATAATCCAGATCAAACTCAACACAGTGTCATCTCGCCACAGTTAGGAAGGCTGTGACAAAGTTTGTTGTTGAGACTCTAGAAAGAGTGCAGAGAAGAGCAACAAAGAGGATCAGGGGACTGGAGGCTAAAATATACAAAGAACGGTTGCAGGAATTGGGCATGTCTAGACTAACAAAGAGAAGGATTAGGGGTGACATAGCTATCTTTGGTACTTGAGAAGCTGTCACAGAGGAGTTTGAACTATTCTCCAAGCATCTGAGGGCAACATTAGAAGTAAGGGATGGAAGCTTATCAAAGAGAGATGAACCTACAATGAAGGAGACATTTCCTATCAGTGAGAACAATCCAGAAGTTGTGGGTGCTCCATCACTGGAGGTTTTCAAGAAGAGACTGGACAGCCATTTGTCTGGAATGGTGTAGAACAGTGGTGGCGAACCTGTGGCACGGGTGCCAGAGGCGGCACTCCGAGCCCTCTCTGTGGGCACGCGCGCCGTCGCCCCAGTCCTAGGCCTTCAGCTGGGTTTTATAAAACCTTTTCGCTTTAGGCCTCCGCCGCTGTGTGCAAAAAAAAAAGGTTCAATCAATCAGTCAATTTCAACTTCTCGTGGGGAAAAAAAAGATCTTGCAAAGTTGGAATTGATTGAACTTTTTAGTCCCCCCCGTCTGCCGTTACCATCGCAGCCACGCCCACCCAATTGGCCACACCCACCCGGCACGCGATAATGCATAAGTGGGTTTTGGGTTGCAGTTTGGGCACTCGGTCTCTAAAAGGTTCGCTGTCACTGCTTTAGGCCTCTGCCGCCATGTGCAAAAAAAAAAAAAAAGGTTCAATCAATCAGTCAATTTCAACTTCTCGCGGGGAAAAAAAAGATCTTGCAAAGTTGGAATTGATTGATTGAACTTTTTAGCCCCACCCAGTCTGCCGTTACCACCGCAGCCACACCCACCCAATGGGCCACGCCCACCCGGCACTCTAGGATGCATAAGTGGGTTTTGGGTTGCAGTTTGGGCACTCGGTCTCTAAAAGGTTCACCATCACTGGTGTAGAATCTCCTGCTTGAGGAGGGGGTTGGACTAGAAGACCTCCAAGGTCCCTTCCAACTCTGTTATTCTGTAATTCTGTAAGGGTCTCCTGCTTGGGGTTGGACTAGAAGACCTCCAAGGTCCTATTCTATGTTTTATGTTCTAACGTCCAAGCTTTGCGTGGTCCTCAATCGTTAGGGCTCTCTGTCTTCCTTTGAGTTGAGTTTGGACTCCTGGTGGATCCAGATAGGTGGATGTTGTCACTGAGGACTGTCCTCTGATGGCCTTCGTAAAGAGTTTGTTGTTTTCTCATGAAAAAGGATGCTTGTTCTCCTTCTCTTCTGCCAAGCTGCATTTGAGTAATTTGCACCACCTACAACATGTACCAGTGTTCCCACCAGGCAGAGACCAGGTGCCAAGCCAAAGGATGACTCAGGGAACTGTTCTGGATCATCTGCTTCCCTTCTTGGGGTTCTCCTCAAATGGTGCGTGTTCTTTCTAAGAACATCAGTGGCAGGAAAGACTCATCAACGTGAAAAGCGAGACCAAAATCAACCTCTTGGTCTCCCCAAACAATTAATCCCTACTTGACTTTAAACTTGTCCCCTTTAAATTTTTCTCCTTCACAGAAGGAGAATTGTTTTGTCTTTTGGAGGTCAAGGGATAGTCTAAATAAATCATCCATGTCCTTGATTTTTTGTCTGGGTTCTTTGTCACTGGAACATGTTTCAATGTTTGCTAGGGTGAGCTGCCAACGTATCTCAACAAGAGGATTTTGTTTCCAAAAGAAAAAAGAGGAAAAACTAAAGACAAGGGGGAAAAAATACTCTGTTTTTTCTCCCTAACAGAATAAAAGAGTAACAGAGTTGGAAGGGACCTGGGAGGTCTTCTAGTCCAACCCCCTGCTCAAGCAGGAGACCCTTCCAGACAAAGAGCTGTCCAGGATCTTCTTAAAAGCCTCCAGTGATGGAGCGCCCACAACATCTGGGAGGTAAGCTATTCCATTATTTGTTCTCACTGTCAGAAAATGCCTCTTTAATGATCTGCAACCCGTTGCTTCTTGTCCTGCCTTGAGTGGTTTTGCAGGAGCAGCAGTTGAGGAGGGCTTTTGGACCACCAATGGAGAGGTTAGTGGCCATGGACTTCTGATCCTTTCTTTATTGAATTGCCCTCTTGCCCAGTGGATAGAAGCATTTGAATCAAGGAGCCCATTTCCTTTTGGGGGCTTCCCAAAACTTCTGGAAATTCCCAGTTGGGGCATTGCCTACCCCTGGCCTATATCCCTTTGTCTATAAAGCCTAGATATTGTTTGCTGGGTCCTAATCCTCCAGCTCCAGAACATGGTGGAGGAGGACCTGCTGTGCTATGGTCCACGGCAGTGGTCTTCAAACTTGGCCACTTGAAGACCTGTGGACTTCAACTCCCAGAATTCCTCAGCCAGCCTAGCTTGTGGACTTCAACTCCCAGAATGATATGCTGGCTGGGGAATTCTGGGAGTCCAAGTCCACAAATCTTTAAGTGGCCAACTTTGGAGAGCCCTGTCTTAGAGGACCTCAAAGCAACATCCAAACTGGTTGGATTTGTCCATAGCACACCCAGGTCACACATCTCCATTCCTACAGGACAAATAAGCCCAACCCTTATC